AAGTATTATACTGACTCAGATTAAGATGGAATTTCTGTTCAAGAGTACAGATAAAGCTATGAAATTCAGATAAGATATTTCTCTTATATCTCAGAGAATCTCTGATCTTAATCTCTCTATCTTTATAATAGATATAGATATGTAAGAGCTGCAGTAATAATAGAGCAGTTGAAGAGCTTATATTAAAATATACAGCAGATTCAGAAATCTCAGATTTCTATTAAAGTAGAGATATATACACTCTAGAAGATAATATAGTATTTCTCTCAGAGAGTAAGATTGAGTTGATCTCAGTGTGAGTGTATGAGACTATATCAGTCTATTAGAGCTTGACTGATTTAAACTTATAATCAGATTGAGTGATTTGAATTGTAATATAATAAAACTGAAGTGATGACTAGTCAGTGACATTATATAGAGATAGTTATTTAAGAAGCTGTATAAGTGAGCTTGACTATCTTACTTAAATAGTGAGCTTATAGACTACAGAGTTATTATGAGAATATCACAGATATGATACTTAGTATACTAAGAAGATTATATAAGATACATAGTAACTCTTATATATATTTTAGTAGAAGAAAAACAAATCACTGACTTCTTTAATAAGAAGTCAGTATCTAGCTATTCTATATAGACAATGAGTGAATACTCTTCTCTCATTTCATGAGTGAGAATAGCTGAAGTAATATCTCAGCAATGTCTTATTACTAAGAAAGAGTAATCTGCTGATCTTATATAGAAGTGAGATTCTCATATTCATCAATCAGATCTTTCTATGATATATCTGAATGATATTATAGAGTAGTTGAAAACCAGTTCAGACAGAATGAAATTATCCGCATGAGATTAATAAGCCGTGTATTTATATTATTCTTCCATTATACTCATATGCAAGCGGAGCTTATGATGAGTCCTTGCGTAATGTTAAATACAGGTCAAGTGTTGGTTATACAAGAGGAAATACAGGTGTTAAGACCACGCCAAGATAACAAGAACATAGGAAAATACAAAGGAGTGACAATTAGATACATGCGATAATAACTTCCCAGCCCAGGAACATAGAGCGATTCATTGGAGTGATTTGTACACCTCTGTATTTATTAGAAACCTGAGGTGCTTGAGTTCCGGATTTAATGTATCCCCTGCGGGTTTCGAACCCACACGCCTTGGTTTCCCACGCCAAGGCGCTACCAGGTGGCCGCATTAACCATTCGGCCACCGGGGCTAATAAGCCGTGTGAAACCGCAACAGGGTCTTGATGCGGCTGGAAGTGTGATATATAGTAAGAGAATTCTTGTGAGATTTCATGAAACAGACTGATACATTGATAATCTCTGTGAGATTTGTCATCTAATAGATGTCTGATTCATCTGTAGTAAATAGTTAGATTCTATTCTCACTATTGTTCTTTTTCTTCTTTTTCTTGAATTTCTTTATTCTTACAGTATTGTTTATTCTTCAATTATTCAGAGCACTGTCTGAATTGACTAATTAACAGATACTAAAGTGAGATCTCTTATATTTAGAATATATAGATGAATTTTCTGATCTCTGATGATTTCAGAAGCTCTTTTAAGTACTATTACAATTATATTCAGTACAGTTTTCACAGGCTGAATTCAATATATTATTGTTAGAATTGATAGATATAGCAGTTATTATATCTATTATAGTGATATTGACTGCAGAATCTGTATTCTGTAGATTCTTTTTATCTTTTGAAGAATTAAGTTATAAACAGATCTTCTTTATGAGAAGATTAATATTCAATACTATAGCTGTGAATTTGAAATTCTGTATCTTCTCTATCTTCTTCTGAATATAATTTCTTCAATTATTGAGTAGAACTGAGTAGAAGATATTAAATATTCACATATCTGAAAGAGAAGTATTCAACATCTTTAATTTTATAATAACAGACTGAAACTTATCAAAGAATGTGTGTAGATTGATGATCTGTATATTATTAAAAGACATGAATTCCAGAACTGTCTCACAGTGTAACTGTGTTTTAAGAACAGAGTATTTCTATTCAATTGTATTTCATAGAGTATAAGTGATCTGATTTTCATTATACTTGAAGAAATGTGATCTGACACCTGCACTCAAGAAGTTTGAGATGAATGTGTAGAGTTATCAGTTTCTAATATCTCAGAATAATGCTTATTCATTATCTCTTTATAGAGAGTTCTGAGTCTGTTATTTCTCTATTATATATTAATACTGTGTATCAATCAGTTTCAATTTCATGAAGATGCTTTATATAATGTAATTAAATATATCAGTTAGACTGTTTAATCTCACAGTATTCTTAATATCTTTCTTAAATTAAGAGATTGTCTTGTCAACACAGCTATTCAGTTTATAAAGATTGAATTTCAATCTTTCACTGAGATTAGAATTTCATATAACTGTACAGACTGTTAATATAATAGCAGAATGATTATTAATATTCTGTGATTAATCTGTAGAGAATCTCTGTTAATGAAGTTTTTTCAGTTATAGTTTAAGTTCTAGAACTCTTCACTTCTTCTTCTTTATTTTAAATATTATCTTGAGATGCTTCATCTGTTGATCTGATATTATCTTGCCTGAATAATAGATATTTAAGTGTTTATTATTCTTATCAAGAGAATTAGCTTTATTAAGCTGTTAAGTAGATTGAAGAGCTGACCTGATTATATCAGAAGCTGTATTCAAATCAGCTTCAAATTAAGAGAGTGTTTCAGATAATTTATTAATGAAGCTTTTAAAAGCTTCAGAAGAATGTTCACTGATAGAGTGTAAGTGTAAAGAATTATCATCATTAACTATAACTGATTCAGTGAAAAGAATGTAAGATTGCAAATATGTATATAAGTGAGATTGTATTGAATTCACTATCTTGATATTCATTTATTGAATTCTTATCAATATCATTCTCTTTTCTTGCTTTTTTTGCAAATGTAATGTGTTTTCTGCAAGTCTCTTTTTTAAGTGAGCAGTAGTATTATTAATTATCAAGATCTCAAACACATCAATACTGATAGAATAAGATGATTTTAACTTCTGAAGAATGTATTGAATGAAGCAGTAGTTCAAATAATGATTATATTGACAAGGAATCTCAAATTGACAGTGATTTTGTGCAAAACAGGTCTCATAACCTGTGAAAGGTGTAAAGCTTGTGTGATTGAAAGGTTGCTAGCTTGTGGAAAGTTATATGGTGGAAGGATTAGTAAGCCAGATCACGTGACCTGACAGTAACCTTGTAACCTTGTAACTTGTGGTGGGGCTGGTATGAGCCCATCTTTTGGAAGGGGAAATAATCATCTAAGTTGGAAGTAGGTAGTCCTCAAGCAGCTAGGGAAAGATGTTGCTCGCGCAGTGATACAGCAGGAAACTAGTTAAAAGCAGAGCAGTCGGTTCCGCGATTTTTCGTGTGGGCGGTGAAATGAGGATGAGAACCAGGAGATGACATTTCTTCTGCAGCTCTCTCCCCGTAATCGTTTGCCGTCCAAAGTCGGGTTAGAATAACTAAGCTAGACAGATTTTCGCCTGGGCTGGGATTAAGCTCAACCGCAGCCAGCATGCGGGGGCTGCTGGGGACGAAAGGGATTCTATTATTGGCCAGGAGCACCGCCAATTAGGCCAAATCCATGGAGTTTCGGCGCTTCACACATCCAGTGTTGACGTTTTTTCTCCCCGAAAGTTGCTCCCTCTCTGTCTCAATGTCTATAAAATACGATTGCAAAGCATACCGCAGCTGAGTTCATACAATCCCACTGGTCATGGAAAAGTTCCCAGAACCATAATTGTTGTTGGGGTCGAAACCGAAAGCGCCGATGATTGATTTTCCCGGGGTTTCCTCCTGCCTCCTGGTGATGCAGACTATTGAGGGAATCCCCAGAACGTGCTCAGTGCGGGGGAATCTAGAGCTCCACTCCACGGTGACTTCACCAACGCGGGTCCGTAACGCCTAGCAATAAACCTTGCGAAATAACATATCATGTTGACTAGTAGCAGGGGACATGACGCAAATTGACTTAAGGGCAATTGCCATCGTTCTGTACGTAGCAATAACCGGGCGCTTATCGCCAAAGGGGTTGATTCATCTTGCATGCGTGGTTCACAATGTTGCCGTATGATCCCACTTGCTGGATTTTAGCACGGATCTCAGCTGCGGATCTCCAGGGTAGTTGAACTAGTTACTCCGTGTTTGAGGACACCCAGGTGGAGTCTGTGGGGTTTGCTGGTCAAACGTAGAAACTTTCTCGAATATGCGTCAAGATGGCTTTTAGTGCGCACATCCCCGTAGGAATCGGAATGGAGCGAAGGTAAACCGGTGGGTTCACCTTCTGGATCTTTCCAACCATGCTCAACATAGGGTTAGAACTATCACGCAAGGCTTTCTGGTAAAGCATTGCTGACTGGGCCGTGAATCAACGTTGAAGCAATGCCTGGAGCACCGTGAACCCGGAGACAAAAACTAACCTCATCCTTCATGGATCACTCAGGCAATTATGGAGCTTGCGGCAGAGAAAATAATAACCACCTCAGAGAAATAAATAAAAACCTTCCGTAGTAGATGATAACCCGAATATGTATTGTGCTATCTGGCAATAGCCTCATTGGATGATGTGTCTCTCCTTTGGACCGCAATTTGCCCATGGAAATATTGTGATATATATAAAGCCTCAAGGTGCCCAACGTTGGAAATTTCAAATATTCGTAAGCCATAGAAATAACTAGTCAACTAGTTACCAATATCACCAATATTAGCAAAGTCCAACAGACTTTGTTTTGTGTGAGTTAAATGAGATCACCATGGTATGTTACAATATATGAATATTTCTTCCTTTTTACAGCCTGAAGTAGATGTAATAGTTAGTCCAGGTAGCACCATGGAAGTTCAAGGCGTCATCATACCCTGGGTTGAAGTTTGTTAAATATATAGGCTGGGGAGGAAGCGGCATCATCAATCACAATTGCTAAAATCCAACGTTAGAGTGTTAGTTCCGCTTTCTATGATTTTGCACTTCATGAGATTAATTCTTCCCAAACCCCAAAGGATATTGGCAGATCTAACTTATACCTTTACTACGGCTCCTTATCCTTCATCACTATAGTTCACGTTACTCAATAAGTTCCTTATCATTATTTTGCAGCTTAGACCATTGCTCAAAAGATCTACTGCCAAAGCAGTAGTGCAAGAGACTCGTTTGAGAACCACCATATCTCAACGATGGTGAGATGATTCCTGGGTAAGTTACATCTTCTTGAATGTAAGATCAGGTATGCATGGCGTGGGCTTTGGACAAGGCTTCAATGGACGGCTTGGTTCATACTGGCTTTAGGTCACAGATACAAGATCGACCCGGATATCATGGACACGCCGAATATATCCAGGATATCTCCGTATAAGATGAAATGGGGTGGTTCAACCCAGTACCATTGCCTCCTTATGCCACACACTCAATCCTGCTTCCGATCCTTCGTCCAAACGAATTTGAAGCGCGAGAGGGCCAGTCGTTGCCGACTCTCACCTTCCCATCTTAATTCGCTAACACAAAATATATCCGATTACCCATTCTATACATAATTACACAGCAGATCCGAAAACACATGCTAAGCCGCCAAATTCACGGCTTGGGAATCCGAAACGGATGCGCCTCTGTATTAAATACAAAATCGTCTAGGCTGATTAAGCCCGGATCGCTGAAAACCAAATAGAAATATTTAAGCGTCTCCCCAAACCAAAAGCTCTCCATGCTATCCTCCCTGCCCCGGTCTGGGTCCATTACATCCCTCAAGGCAGCATTCGCCAGGTCTGTACGCGTATGCTTCTCGATCGCCTGGAACATCTCCCACGCCACGTCCTGAAGCTTCGGATCACCCGTGATACGATAGAGGTAGAAAACACTCTCAATCGCTTCCGGGCGGAGTTTGTAATGACTGTCCTTGATGGACGTAAAACCGGGATGTTGGGATCCATGGTCGGATTTCCACCGCTCCTTGTCGAACTCGCAGCTTGAGGATGAATCGCATGCCTGCATGCGGAATTCCTCGGGCATAAGGCCTGTGGGAGTATTGCGGTAAGTCCAAACGCAGCCGTCAGTGAGTTTACGACCGACTTCGATGTGTGTTTTGTTGGAGAGGAGACGGCCTCCGAGTGCAAGTGTGCCACCGATGTAACAGGTAAGGTGTTGACCTCCCGGCTCGAGATGTGGGGTTGAAGAAGCGCTTGGAACACGCGTCTGGCCAGAGACCAGAATGTCAGCGTTATCAGGAACCACGGGTCTGAAAAAGAGGTGCTCCATAGCAGTGTTCATGGCATGGCTGTATAGCCTCGCATATTGCGCTGCGGCATCTGTCCCCCCAAGCAAGGCGTACATCTTCGGGAGATATTCATAGGCCGAGTCGGCCATGGACCCCAGAGTGAATGTCGAGTCGCGTGTGAAATCGGCAGAAAGAGGACTACAGCCTACCGGCCATAGACCCGGCAGGTTTGTTTTGTTCTGTTGTTCGTCCAGGATATTGGTGATACGCTGGATTGCGTCGAACCAGCGCATGTCACCTGTGAGCTGGGAGAGGCGTGTGAGTTCCATGCTCGACGATGCTACTTCGGCGATGATACCTTTGTCGGCAGGGTGTTGCTTTTTCCCCTTCATGGCTTTCTGCGGGCTCCAGCGGGTTACGGGCATTCGATTTTTTGTGTCGAAAGACGCATAAATCATGTCCCCGAGCTCGACAGCTTTATCCAGTAACCTTCTATCCTTGCAATCCGTTAAATCAAAGGCAGAAAGAAACCCGCCTAGATACCTGATAGTCGTTTCAAACATATTGATAGTCTCCTGACTCGTCTTCTCTGGGCTAAAGTCGATAGTAGCCGCGGCAGCAACGGCTTCCTCGAACTCGTCTTTCAGGCCCATGATCCAAAGGGTATCCAAACTGTCAACAAGAGTCGCGCCCCAGCCCCCAAACGTGTTCTGCGGTGCTCCAGATTTTGGCGAGAGTTCGTCATGGAGCCATGCCATTTGTTTATAGGATTTCCAGCCCCGCTGAAATACCTTTTTCACTTCGGCTTGGCGCTGGGCTTGCAATGCGATGCGTTCAGCCGCCTGTGCTTCAAAAACATGCTGGATTGGCGGTAGTGGAGATGGAGCTTCAGTTGGCAGCTGAATAAACGAAGTGACGGGGTGTTTAATACGGAGTTTCCTCCATTTAAATCGGTTATGATTAGGTGGATTGTATGTTGGCGACGGATCATGACACAATTGCGTCCATGGTTCCTTAGTAACAGTAACAGGGTCGGTTACTACATCTACATATGGCGTCGAGGACTCTGGTGCGTTGAGATAATAGAGGTAAAAGAGCAAAATTAAACAAGCAGCGATAACCTTATACCGCCATCTCCTTTGATATATCATGGTTGAATGAGCGGTCGTGGGTGAGAGAGAGAGGACAAAGGGAGCAAGGATTCAACGTTGCGGTTGTAGTAATTTATCATATCGGCCTGCCGAAAATGCTTGACCCTTCTTCCCCTTACTTGGACAGGGAGGGATTGCTGCAAGAAAACCACATAACAACAATAGAAGAAAAACTTGGGTATAATAATAACAAGGACGATGGCAGTCATGTAACTTGGCAATGTGCCTCGTTTCTTTTTAGAACAGGTCGTCTTGCGTTGCCGACTCCAGCGCTAATGAGCTAGTTAACTTAGCGCCTAGCAAACGCGTCTCGCATACATGATGCTTGCGGCGGTCTATGATGGGAAGTGAATAATGGCTTGTTCAAAGAAAAAAAAAAAAAAAAAAATTGGGATCGTTCACAAGTTAAATAAAAAAAGGCGCTCTCGTTGGTGCCGTACTTGAAACCCCTGAAAGGGCTAACCTGGCGATGTATTTTAGTTACTACAGCATACGGAGTAGAGTTTCTCCACCCAACCCTTGGCAGGTCAAAGTTTTTGATACATCGCAGATTGCTGGGTTTTATACTCCTATATACACAGTAGGGGGATAAGGTAGGTAAGGTAGTTAACCCGCGGCTGTGGAAAGAATCCTCTGCGTGTAGAGATACTACTGTTCTCTCGTGTGATTTTAACTGACCATAACCTAACTAACCATGCGTTGATCCAGCCATGATGGCGCCTACTGGCTTCTCAGTGGTTTTCTCCTGGGAGGGTGTCAGAGTGATGTTTATTTTAGCTGCAGATAGTCTTTTTCCTCCCTACCTACCTACTCTTCGTATGTGTGGCTGGGTTCAACACAGCTGTATTAGAGATATGCACAGGCGGCATTCTGACTGAGAGATGATGGACTTACCTGGTAATTGCTTACTGTGTGGATGGTTATTGCAGTTGTAACTTAGCCTAGCATTGTGTGGAAGATACGTGTTCGGAACGAAAGTGTAGGTAAACAACATTATCAGTGGGCTTGTAGAGGCCATTTAGAGTGTTGTACGGATAATGTGGCTTTTAAGCCTTGCTGAAACCACCACGACGTAGAGAAGAACCCGAAGATGGGTCAAGGAGATCCCCTTGCCCAACTATATAACTTGAGTGTGAGGCTTAACACTGCTGCTAACAGGCAGTCAAATCCAGAATCTTAAACATCATCATCATCAAGCTGGATAAGGTCAGATGATCTGGGACTGCTGCGAGGTTCATCTTAAGCAGTAGTTTCTGACCACAATATATACATATAGGTGACAGAGAAGATAGATGTTTGAGCATCATTATGATTTCCCTTGGCATATCAAGTTTGCATTGCCGTTTATCAAGTTTCTATTTTTTAAGTTGAAATAAAAAATAAACGGCCACCTCATGCATCTAACAACATCGGGTTCTAATACTTCCCCTGCCCGCTTCATCACTCACCCATAAGCACTTTTTTCTGTACATAGTCTTGTATACCCACCCCCGAACCTCATATGATCTTCTCCCCTTCAACCATCCCTTTATGGAGTAAGTCAATGGCTACAATTGGAGGATTAAATGGACTGCTCTTGTGACCGGCACAGGTTAGCCATCACGCTCTCAGCGCTCATCAGTTGTTTGCTCAGTATTCCGTACAAGTGATGAGTGGGCAGCAGTCTAGAAACAACATGGCAAACTCGCTGAAGTAGCATTGTCATTGTGAGCACAATATTTTACCCATCTCATTGAAGCTGGTGTGAAGGGGACAGTGGAAATGAGCGCAGCGGTGTTGGCTTGTCTAATCCAAGCTATAGTCTACAACAAGGTAGGTCAAATGGTAGATAGATAGATAGCGTCAGGACAACTGAGTGTCCAGAAAGTCATTCATATCCAGAAGGGTATTTTACCCGCGTTGGATATCACGCCGACAATCGAAATCCCCCCTTCTATCCCTGCCGAGGCTAACCATGCATGCAGTCCCGTTGGTCGTGAGAAATCATCCTGGCTCAATTGAAGGGGAATACATCGATATCTGAGATGTGAACGAGGAGGGAAGGGGCAGTATTTGCGATGGATTTCCAGCAGCTCCTCACACCACAGCCGCGGGCAAGACGTTATGTGTACATCTCATCCATACACGCGGCTTCTGGTATCTCGCCCGGGTTAGCAGGCGTTACGGGAGCACGGAGAAAAAAATCGTTTCATATCCGATCCGACGCCCTATGAGTCAATGTGGATTGACATGCTGATGATGGGGAATGATGGCTTTCACCATGATGCCCTCGGGGCTTTGAGGCGTGAACAAGTGTGATGATCAAGGACTTGCATCTGATGCAGGGCAGGGTGCAGTACCAGATGCGATCGCTAATGTTGTGTGTTCTAACTGCTAAACCCCCATAGAGAAATTACGTCACCAGGACGAGTATTATGATTGATTCGGGTTGTCTGATAAGCCGTCTCTAATCAGATGATGGATCGACGGTTTGAATGAAATATTCTTGAGAGTGAGGAAGGGCTGCTCCGCACGTGATATCAGATCTCTCAAGCCTTTGGTTCTCGGAAACTGCCAGGATTTCTCTTTAAGGCCTGGGAACTGAAGCATCGAAATTTGTGTTTGACTATCCTGGAACACCCAGGGGGTACCTAAGGGTAAGGTATACATGGAAGGTGACACATTGGCACGCCCTAGAGCAAGTCCGGGAGTAACTCGAAAGCGAGGAGAACGGATGAGAAGGGAAGAACAATCAGCTGCTCCCATGAATGAAAAACAGCCGTTAGTTGCCTCTCTCGTATGTATGTACATGTATGTACATGTACATGTACATACGTACATACCAAAGATTTTGGTAGGTGGTTGCTACTACCACACATCCGACACCATATACAAGGCAAACCTGTATCCTGGATATATGGGATTGCCACAGGGCGTATTATCGCGTTTCATGCGGAAAACTGAGGAAATTTATGGGAAGTGAGGTTTGTCTGGATGTTCAACGGAGCTCACGACAGAAAGGATACTCAAGCGTCATTATGATTAGCATCATTATATTCATGGTTGTTGCGGATAGCTTCAAGCAATAGTTAGTCTCAACAACCTAGATAGATCTTTTTTTCCATTAGACGCCCTTCTAGAACAACCCATCCGTCTAGCCAGCGTTTTATTAAGTTAGTATGAAAGTCAATTGGTCAATAACGAGGCACCGAGGAATCGCGGATGTCCTTTTAGGGATCCTCGTCCCGCTCTTGTATGAGCGGGGTATTCCGTCAGGTCAACTACTGCGTAATTGAGCACTGCCAGCCTCGTTTCTGGCATGAATACAGAGGAATAAGTCCGACCAGACGACGGAAGTTTTCGCCGAATCAATCTGCAAACTCGGCTAAGAGGATATTCTCGTATCATAAAATAATAATAAAAAATAAGAGGCGACAAGAGGCGATTCATGCTTCGAGAGTGGGGGTTGGGATGAGAAAAGGAAAAGAAAAAAGAAAAAAAAAAATTCAATTCGATGTTGCCGCCGTCGCCGTTGCAGCCTGTACGCGCTGTACGGAGTAACTACTCCGTATGGTTCGCAATGTTTCTATTTATAACCAACACACAACAACACACTCTCAGCCGCCCAATCGTAGCCCACGTGTGATCTGGAAGCCGCAAGCGATTTGCCAAATAACCCTTCATGATGGTGACCGGGGGGGGGGAACTTGTCATTTTGCCATTTGGGCGTCGCGGCCACGGCCGGCTGCAGCCCTGGCCCAAGCGAGCTGTTGGGCATCGACGGATTGACCAGTAACCGACCGACCGACCAGAGCAGGCCTGCAAAGTCAGAATCGCTTTTGCAAAAAGGGCAGCCTTGTTTCGTCGTTATTAATAATATTATTATTTATGGCTACGATTGAGAGCAACGAGGGATTCAAGTGGCTACTGCTTGTGGATTCTGCGACAGTATAGTATGGGATAGGTAGGCATTGCCATTGCCTGCAAGCCTTTTTTCATGCCAGGGAATTGGATGTTTCAAACCAGCTTCGACCTGAATGGTAGGTAGGTTTTATATTTTTTGGGGATATTTGATATTTCCTGTTACTGGTACGTACTCCGTATAGTCCCGGCAGGGCAGGATGGCTTGTTCTAAGCCTGGTTGGAGATGCTATTGAGAAGCTGCAGTTTTTTAACCTCCTCACACATTGATGCATGCTGGATGGATGGATGGTTGGATGGATCTATTTCACCATTTTTGACTCCCCAATCCTGCTTCTTCCCACATCGGGCCAAGGAAAAATGACTGCTCTTCCTGGCTTTCCCATTAAAGGGCCGACTTGCATAAATAATAATTATTAATAATAATAAGTCTAGAGTCAACTCCGTAAGCACGCCGCATGCAGAGGAATGAATGGGTGAGAGACAATTTTTTGTGAGCGGCTAGGCTGTAAGATTCATACGTGATATTACCGTACGGGGAGAATCCGCGCCTTGTGTCAAGACTGGCGGTTGCCTCATTTTGGTCCCACGCTGCCCACAGTGCCACACTGCCAAGCGCTGGTGGCTGACTTCCTGTTGGTTCGCGAGACTGGCAAGGCTGGGCGTATTGTCACAGCAGCGAGATTTGGGCAGCTACGCGCGTGATATGTTACCTACCAGGTTAGCGGAGATAAGCTTCCTCTATACTAAATGATGTAATGTACAGTACGTATAGGTGTAATGTATGTATGGGTGTAATGTATGTATGTATGTATGTATGTAACAGCGGTGTCATGGGCGGATACAACGCTAGGCCGAAAGAGGCCCAGCCCAGTGACCTGACCCGACCCCGACCACAAACCTCAAACCTCCAACCTCACGCCAACTCATCCTGTCCCTCACCGACATCAAAACCTTCTCCATCTCAACCTCCTCCATCGTCAATCTCCTCCTCGTCACCCTCACGTCCAAAGCCGTGAAGGAGTTTTCTGCCTGTCTTGGGAGATCTTCTTCTCTCCAGGGACTTACTTCCCTTTTCATGTCGTGCTCTCAGCCAACTCTCTAGCACACATCCTCCTACTTAAATCCTTCAAGTAACCGCTACTTCCCCTCTTCATCTGTAAGGTCCAACCCTCTTCCTCATCCATTAAAACAACCTCCAAATCTCCAAAAATCTCTGTGTTGTGAGTCAGACCATTCCTTCCCCTCTCCCCTGGTTTGGTTACGCTTCTCCAGAATCAATACTTCCTGCTCCCTTGGCTGCTGCTTGCTCTAAGCGCTGCACACCTGGAGAGGACCCCAACCTTGCCATCTTTGGCTTCATTCATCGCTGAATCAGGAGAAATCATTCACACACAATCCATTTCCTGTTAAAACTAACTTGCCTTCACGGCTAGCTCCATTCTCGATCCTCCCTTGGCCAATCTTCCTGATTGCCCGTTTCAACCTCTTGCAAAATCGGCCTTATACCTCCTGACATACGCGCTGACAGTTTGGTAACTACGACAACCTTTTGAAAGATCTTGCCCGATAAAACCCTTCAACTCTCATCTATCTTGAAATCATCGTTACGCTTCTTTCATTCGTGTCACCATGACTACAATGGTAAGCGGAATACCTATTCGTTCGAGGCGTTCAGGGGTCTCGACCCCCTCCTTTGAACCGAACCACATGCATCCCGGACGTGACCCCACATCGACATCTCATCATGTATACTAATAACCTCTTGGATAGGACCTCCGGGTCGGTAACAAGTACCGCATTGGCCGTAAAATCGGCAGCGGCAGCTTTGGTGATATTTATCTTGGTTCGTACTGAGCCCCCTTAACCGGTATTCGAAACATGTTATCTAATGGTCGATATGTAGGCACCAATATCATCTCTGGAGAAGAGATCGCCATCAAGCTCGAGAGCGTAAAGGCTAAGCACCCACAGCTTGAATATGAGGCTCGTGTCTACAAATCTCTGGCAGGTGGCGTCGGCATCCCCTTCGTTCGCTGGTATGGTACCGAATGTGACTACAATGCCATGGTCATCGATTTGCTCGGCCCCAGCTTGGAGGATCTATTCAATTTTTGCAACCGCAAATTCTCCCTAAAGACAGTTCTTCTATTGGCCGACCAGCTCATCTCTCGTATCGAATATATCCACGCAAAGTCCTTTATTCACCGTGATATCAAACCAGACAACTTCCTGATGGGGATTGGGAAACGTGGCAATCAGGTCAATGTGATCGATTTCGGTCTTGCTAAGAAATATCGTGACCCAAAAACGCATTTCCACATTCCATACCGTGAAAACAAGAACCTGACTGGAACTGCCCGATATGCCAGTATCAATACTCACCTGGGAGTGGAGCAGTCCCGTCGCGATGACATGGAGTCCCTTGGCTATGTTATGCTCTATTTCTGCCGCGGATCTCTTCCCTGGCAAGGACTGAAGGCTGCCACCAAGAAACAGAAGTATGACCGCATCATGGAGAAAAAGATGACTACGCCCACCGAAGTTCTCTGCCGTGGTTTCCCCAATGAGTTCTCGGTCTATTTGAACTACACCCGGTCTCTACGCTTCGATGACAAACCGGATTATTCCTATCTCAGAAAGATCTTCCGCGATCTGTTTGTCCGAGAATCATTCCAATACGACTATGTCTTTGACTGGACCGTTTACAAATATCAGAAGAACGCCCAGGCAATTGCTCAGGCTACTGGTAACCAAAATGCTGAGGATGAGGATAAGCCACGCCGCCATCCTGGCAATCCTGTCAATCCTCAGGTCAAGCCATCAGCCCTTGCTGCTCCCCGTCGCAAGGTGGTTGATCGCATCCCAAGTGGAACGGTCGATACTCCCGATACAAATCGCGCCGTTGGGGGAAGTGATAGGATGTGAGTATCTGTCAACAATCTACCGTTCCGAGGAACTAATGCTGGCCATGGGATTTTGATTCAAGAATCTGACTAATCTCATAGTCTTCGGCGTTAGGCTACGTTCTGCTTCTAAGGGTGTTAATGCGGGTGCTGGCTACACCAGTGCTGCTTACCACCGTTCGAAGCGGGATGATGGTACTGGTGCTAATTGGTACTGATTTATTTTGCGAGCGGTGATTCCTTCGTCCTTATCGCATATCTCATTTCGAAATCTCAGCTTTTTTGGTGGTGTAGTAGTGTGCAAGCGTCTAGCATATACACCCACTAAACCCTGAGTATTTTTTCGCTGTTCTGAAATCCCTCCATTTCTTATGGTGTGTGTTTAGCCATTCGCTCAGTCATTTTCTCGACATCGGTTCTTTTCAGTCCGTGGATATCGTCGCCCTCCCGCCCTTCGCCCCATCGCAGCCAACTTTCTTACGATTGATCCTGCACCGACGAATCTTAACCTTGTCGAGATATACGACCTATTTATCATGGAATAACTGATGCAGGCTTCAGAACATATTTTGTCCCCGTCCCTTGACACCTTCGGTTGCGCTTTTCGATGAAGACATTTCTGAAAATTTTGTTCAACCTCTCAGTCAGGGAAGTGGTGCAGACTCTCTAAACGGATATCCCCGCCAATTACCACTATATGGCTTTATCAAGTTTTGGTACCCTAGGTTTCCGGAAATATTGCCCAAGTTCCCCCCCCCCCCCCCTTTTTTTTTTTATTTCCCATTAATCACTCTTTGTTCAGCCCCACTTTCCCGCGTCATCAGTTTTCATTTTTTCTGTCCTTTTTCCCGTATCTCGATGCATTTTTACGTTTGACGGAAATAAAGGGGACGAGTCAAATCTTTTACGACGTCGAAGAGGGTACGTCAGAAGGAATGAATAATGATTTACTGCCTCCCCATTATCAGATAGATCATGATCATATTGGTGGGGCGAGATTATTGTTTTCTTCTACGTTCGACGCAGCGTGGAGCAATCCCGCGCCGATACCTCTTCTGTTCGGGTACATGGCGACGGACTTATGGCTAGGGTCGCTTCCGGGGTGGTATTTCGTCAAACACGTTCTTTATGCTTTGTTTGCACATTTCCGATTTATTGTTTGCATTGTTTTTGCTCTTTCGCGCATGTCTGCAATTTTTTTGAGGAGATGCGTGGCCTAGAAAATGACGAGGAGGCAGAGCGGCGCTGGAGATTGTGCTGCATCGGATAGTAAATAGTGTTGGGATACACCCGCTCGTGGGGATGTTTATGAAGGCCAGAAGATGATGATTTTCCGTTTCCCTCATTGTTTCTTTACTTGCCCCCTTTTTCGTTCCAGAGTTTTATTTATCTATTTTATATGTTTCTCCCCTCTTCAACCACATTATTTGTATACAAATAATGCCAAGTCTGCGTTTTTCCTAAATATGTATCGTCGTCAAGCCGTCCTGGTGTCTATACCTACGTAGTCTTTGATTGCGATGGGGGCCTGTAGCTATAAAGTGGCTGGTATCAGCGGCATCAGGGGTTCTGAGCGTATTGGGAGAAGTGTAAAAAGGGTTTCCCCCGTTTCCACACCAGCACGGCTAGCGAACAGGTAGTTAATGACAAGAGCTTCACTGAACAACATATCAAACAACATTTCCGGACATTGCATATGCCCATGTGTGTACATGTACTGTACTTGGTTAATTTCCAAGCCAAATTCCAAAAATGTTTGACGCGACCTGAGTGAGGGCTTTCCAGGTTTTCTTCCCTATATCTAATTAAGTAATTGTAACTACGAGAGACCCCCCAACCTTATCCTGACAACGGCTTCCTTAAGTCACTCCTAGCCCTGACCCTATATTTTTCCCCCCTGTGAAAATACCAATCGAGAATCGTTTCCCGGCACCATAACTAATAATGGATTACGTTTGCTAGTTACGTACTGATTACAAGTACGCGTATTTTTCCCAAAAACTTAGATATCTTGTCTATTCAAACGTCCCCTCCTCCTCCAATGATCACCAATCAAAAATCCAGGACGGATTCGCAGTGATTTATTAGGTGTGTCTGTCTCTATTTGGAGCTTGACGTGGTCTGTTCTCGCAGCTGCTAGGTAGGCTGGAATAAAACAAGATCACCCCCTGTTTTGTTTGCATGTTTGTTTGTTTGTTCTACATAGTATTTTTATTGGCTTGGGACTGAAAGGATACTCCACACCAAGTCCAGTCCGTAACCATGTCTTCCTGGATGAAGTGATTCGGAGTTTCTACGATGACATCCATCACGTCACTGGTGGCCTTGTCCTGTCCTGTCCTGTCTGTCTGTCTGTCTGTCTGTCTGTCTGGGTGCCCGATCTGAGAGCTAGGCGTACATACATGCAGGACAATTCATTCTGAAGTGGTTGAGGATGATTTGCAAGCTGTGGCTTGTTGATTGGTGGCTGGGGAATAAGTGAGTGGGTGAGGGAGTGTTGTGAGATGGAAGGTAGACTGTTGTATCATATACAGTTGAACTGTCCTTGGTAAGATAATTTCCATAGAATTGATGCGCTGTTGGTTGCTTGAAATTCGTTGCTGACCTAAAGTGATGAATATGCAAGACGATTCTTATATAGAGATAAGTAAAGATAGTTTATAGGAAATAAAAAGTTCGTACGGAGTAGCGAAAATAACAAATGCCTCTGGACACAATGCGTAGGCAGTAGCAATTGTGGGCCACATAAGAGACGGTTCTGGAACCAATGAGTGGCTCGTTACAATTGACATAACAGAGATATAATAATCCAAAATAAATATGTATCCAACGCAAGAAGCGGTATGCCGAAAATCATTCATCATTAAACTTCGTAATCCAGAGTTCACGCGTTCCACTGCGCCCAGTCAAAATCCATCCCGACATCGAAAGTCCCATACCCCTCCTCCCACAAAATCGCATCACTCGCTGGATTTTCAAACGAGAGTAACTCCTCTGGAACAATGAACCCGCCCTCACCAGGCATAGGTATAGTTGATGCCGCCGCCTGCTGCGCGGCTAGGAATGCAGCGAGTGGGTCTTCCGGTGTGAAATGGGGTAGCGGAATTGGCGCTGCTTCATACCCTAGCTCAGGCCCTGGTTCTAGCCCAGACTCGGTAGTTAAGGTGGCCGGTTGTGCAGATTCAGCTGGGGGTGATAAGAACTGGCGTGCTGGTGTTGTTGGTGCAGGTTCCTCGTCGGGGTCAGCAGATACTGGGAGCACGGTGTTGTAGAGGTTGAGGAGGAGGCGATGGAGGGATCGAATGTGTAAATTGCCCTTTTCTGCCATGCTGTTGAGCACGTCGAGGGCAAGGGTCATCGCCGCATGGTCTCTCGCGTTGTGCGGGAAGGCAATATTGATCATGACGAGGATTATCGCGGCGGAGAAGGCATGTTCGCCGTCCATGTAGCCGTATGTTGCTAGGTTTTTATGTCAGTCTTTGGTAGCCAGAGTGCATTTCGCTAGAGCGTAGAAAAAAAATGGTGGAAAAGAGGGGAAAATAGGGGACGCAAGTAAAGTACCCATGAGATTTTGTTTGGCAGCGGCAGCCATTACCGCTGCACTATTCCGGGCTGCAGCGATGCATGTTTCCACAGCTAATACTGTGCTCTGTTGCAGGCCATTTCTCCAATCCGCCCATTCCCCCGTTTTCTCATGGTTCTGGAGACATTTTCGAACCACGTTAAAGACTAGAGGCCGAACTGTCATATTGATACACTGTGAGTAGTGCAAAAAGATCGACACAGACTGGCGTGATATTTCAGAATCCAGTTTTGTAAAATCACACTGCAGCGCCTGAGGTAAATTTGAGTGCCACTGGGTTAACTCGGCAAGGATAGACTGTACCGAGCTCACAAGATTGTAAGCTGTGGTGCGCGGTGTGCGATATACATCTACAATTTGAGTTAGTTACAAATCTCATACCAAAGCTTCTGTGAGGCTTACTCTTCATTATTTTAGCCAGAATCCTAGACAATTCAGTGTAGTGAAACAGGACAGTGGCTGCGCATATATCTGGTTCATCGGGCTATAATCATTATGATGTAAGTATAGACTTACGATTCATGAACTGCGGGAGCGACGTACTAAACGAGAAGGGGGTAAAACGCCTATATCCTCATCCGCGATCGTGAGTGGATTTCCTGATTTGACACAGAGAATTCTATACCATTCATTAGTGACAGGTTCGTGCCTGGAAATTCTTGTAGCCCGCGTACCTATCCAAGCTGTAAACGGACCACCAAAGACGTCGACGATGCTCACGAGCGTGGTCGTCTAAACTATTATCAGAGACTTCTTGGTGCAAACCTAATGATATGGCCATTCGTAGCGCTAATTCGATCTATCAAAATATATTAGTATTTCCCATGGTGTTTGAAGGAGAAAGTGAAGAACTCACATATAAAAAAGCAGCATCTCTACGGTTCAAATTCTGAAAGAAGTATCCAACCAATGATAGGACTTCGACAAAAGTCACCGAAGGTTGCTCATGGATATCCGGAAGTAGGTTCATCGCCTGCTGAAAGTACTTAAACCCAGGGGGCCCATCATAACTCATCCATTGATTGATCGAGTACATCTGGCCAAATGCAAGTATTATGAATATTTGGCAATACCGTAGGCGGTCTCCTATGTCCGAAAAGTCAGGCTCTCGATCATACATCTCGCGAATATTCTTCTCGAACGTTTCTGGAGAAATGAAGGAGAAAATTGTGCCAATGTATGCATATTGCGCCGCATAGAGCCGTTTCGCAACAGGGAAAGGTGGGAGTAAAGTAGCCGATGGCCTGGACTGGTGTGCGTTCGTCCGAATAGAGAAGTTTGAGTTGCTATTGTAAGTTGGGGTTATGAAATCTTCTCCAATATCAAGGCCGGCCTTAAACGACCTGACAAAGTCGAGAAACTTCTTCCCTAGGCTGGCTGAGGAGGAGTTGCCAAAATATCCTAGTTTTGATATGAGATGAGTATGAGGTTTCCTAGAAGTACTGGTAAATAGGAAAAAGCAATACGAACGTTTATCACCTTCAGGACTGAGGACTAGATGAGCTATCTTTTCAGTTAGCGGGTTATCGTCAATGTCTTCCCCATCCTGGATTGGAGTCGGTGACTCAGAGCCGTCTGAGAGAGCGGCAGTAGGAGGATCCTGCTGGGGTTGATGTTCAATGGGGGCCACATTTAATGATCCCTGGCGTCTTGTATCATTCTGACGTTTTCGCTCATATGCTTTAAGTCGAGCTTCGAGCTGTATGAGATATCTACTAACTGTCAGCGAAACATATAGCAACATCTCCAGTCAGTGTTAGAAATCTCACGCTTCAGGGACTCGGACAGTCTTTTGGACGTTCGGGTAAGTGCATGTTCGACTTGCGATTGCACAGGCTCTACAGGCCAATCCATCATTTCCACCAAAACATCTCTTCTTGCGTATTCTACAGTAATTGCAGCTACGATACGGTTTAGCATGCTTGGGGAAATGGAGGGATATAGAGTAGGAAGTTGGACTCACGCTACGGAGGCACGGCGGGGCCGATCCAAACCGACATGCGTCGAGTGTGTAGAGAGCAACATATCCGAATATCCTCTGGATACCTTGCCCCAGAATAAATTGAAGTTGTCGTAGATAATAATTCCAATTCCGAAATCCCTTTTGTAAACATTCCCGAAAAGAGACTGGAACCCTGACGCGGGGGTGGTGGGGTTATTTGGCTCTGAAGCCATGCCCTATTTGTTACCCTGGTTAGTAGGAGTCAGGCGAGCTAATAAGTTACTAGTTGTTTTGCTATATAAGCGCTGAAAGAGGCTGACATGATATTGGATATTGACATCTCCCTTGCGAAAATAAATGCACTCATCTTGAGGGGAAGCAGAGATCAGCCACTGCCTGCCTGCGAGATTGAGGTTCATTTATGTCCGAGAGACCAAGCTGATTGATTGCAGAATTCGGCATCCATCAGAGAGCCTCAACGAGCCAGCAAGAACAAACCGGCCACGACAATGGGAAAGCCTGCAAGTCTCAATGCTGGGAGGTGCTATCTGGGAGGTGCTATTTCCATCATTATCGATGTAGGAACCGACTTTATAAGAAATAAAGTGTCAAAATCAGGAAAGACTCAAGAGCTTGAGCTAACCATTTGCCTTATTTCAGCAGAATATATATATATACATATATATATATATATATAAAGAAATGACCTCATCTGGACGGAGAAAGCAGATCCACAACTTGAGCAAACATCAAGGGCCATGCATACCTTTGCCCAAATATCACTGAGCTCTGAAATAGCAACGTAGGCCGGTGGTTTCCAGCCCCGAGGAAGCGCCAAAGAAGTTTTTCTCCACGAGCGCAGAACGCCTCCTGAGCATCCCCTTCTCCCATTTCGGGGCCGTGTTATAGTCCGTACATCGTCGATTCGATCCAAAGCATAGGGCCTCATCGAGACCACGAATGTACCCCATGTGAAAACGGCCGCAGGGGAGAGGGGGATGTTCGTCCTGTATATTGGATAGTTCCGTTGCATGACAGTGTGAAGAGGGGGGAGCCCCGCAAGCGTAAGCGCGCTCTTGAAACTAATCGAACATCTGATCAAGAATCCCACATGGTCCTCCGTCCAGTCGTCGAGTATATCTTGGCATTGAAACTTGACCAGCTTGCCATCGCTGTACACCATATAACGAGAGGCGTCCGTGCGAAGGTCGATTTCAGCTGCAATGTCGCCGTCTTGGATCTTGGGCATCCGTGATTTTAGATCTGAATATTTGCCGACGGATTTAGATTCTGCCAGGAGAGGACAGGGAACAGGATTTCGTTGGCAGAGCAGGCGGAAGTCTTCAGCGTATCGCGAGGGTAGGCAGATGAGGAAAGTTACCACGTTCTTACGCGCCTTGAGTCTAACTCTGCGCGTTGAAGATTTGCCAACCATGATTTTTAGATTGATTGTGGTCTTATTGCTTGGGAGGGTTAGAGAAGATGTGAGAACGGGTTAATATTAGATTCAGCTAAAAGTTGGATGGTTCCATATTATTCCCTCACTGTGGGCATGCTCCCGGCGGCAGCCCTTTTATCATTGCATTAATACACTATAGCCAGCGTTATACACTCTGAAAGCGAGGCACACAATCCCGAGTCCCAGCCTGTTTTCTGCAGGGAGACAAGCCCGTTCGGGTTCTCCTGCCGACTCAATACGCTAACAAAGCTTATTTACAGGACAACATCGGAAGAAAAAAGCTTACTTATCTTATCAGATCGGCATCCTGACCCGATCTCGTCGGGATGGGTTGCCGGTGCCGGGATGCGGCCAGGATGTCATTTATCTTTCCTGCTGAGCGGGAGGTGGAAACCGCTTCGCTCGGATGGGCGTAGATGGTGATTTCCTGCCAATGGTATTGGCCATTTCTAGACAGGAGTGCGGGAATTTCTCGCCGGTTTCAGGCGCGGACGAGAGAAAGTTTGTGGATTTATAATTGCGGGACAACCGTTATCAGCACACCACTTTCTAAATACTAAATAAATAAATAATCCATCATCCCTCATTTCCTGCTCATCTCTAGCACTTCTAATTTTCTTTAACGTCGTCATAAACCACAATACGACATCCCATAATCCTGTCCTGGGACAATTCTTGAGTAGAGATTGATCTAATTCACCCACAACCAGCCCGAGCAATGACTACCCAACCTCCCCCAACACAATCGCCCGCCAGGGTCAGAATTTCGATAGACCGAGGCGGGACATTCACAGACGTCCACGCTTCAATACCCGGGCGCAGCGATATTATCCTCAAACTTCTCTCTGTCGATCCATCAAATTACAAAGATGCGCCAACAGAGGGAATCAGACGCGTCCTGGAGATCGCCACTGGTAAAAAGCTACCGCGGGGGCAGCAACTAGATCTTGCACCCATCGAATCACTTCGGATGGGTACGACAGTTGCGACCAATGCGTTACTAGAAAGAAAAGGAGCGCGATCCGCACTGCTTATTTCAAAAGGTTTCAAAGACCTTCTTGTCATCGGAAACCAGTCACGGCCGAATATTTTTGATCTTTCCGTCGCGAAGCCGAGCGTGCTTTATGAGAAAGTTGTTGAGATTAACGAGAGAGTAACGCTGAAAGGATATACTGAAGATCCCGATCCTCAGCCAATTGAGGAAACGGAAGATGTCGTTAGAGGGACTACGGGAGAATATATCCACGTTCTCGTCAAGCCGGACATGAAAAAGGTCAGAGATGACCTCCAAATGTTATGGGACGAAGGATATCGGTCAATAGCCATTGTGCTGCTTCACTCATATACCTATCCGGCACACGAAAAATTGATTGGGCAGGCTGCTATGGAGATGGGATTTTCTGTTGCGATATCTTCGGAACTGCAACCCATGATAAAGGTGGTGCCTCGTGGCATGAGTGCGACTGCAGACGCATATTTAACCCCGGTGATTAAAGAGTATATTGACTCGATTTCTTCGAATTTCATTGGCGGGCTTGCTTCTCCAAGCACGAGGTGTGAGTTTATGCAGTCGGACGGTGGATTGGTGGATTTTCGGAAATTTAGCGGTCTGAAGGCTATTTTATCAGGGCCAGCAGGTGGCGTCGTCGGATATGCGCAGACCTCCTGGGACGACGAGGAGCAAATTCCTGTCATAGGATTTGATATGGGTGGCACAAGCACAGATGGTTTGTATTGGTCCTCCTTTGACAGTTCTTCCACACCAAATATCTTCCTACTAACGTTTGCATTATAGTATCCCGGTACTCGGGGGTCTACGACCACGTCTTCGAAACCACCATTGCCGGCGTATCCATCCAATCTCCCCAGCTAGATATCAACACCGTCGCCGCAGGAGGCGGTTCGATCCTCTTCTGGCGAAACGGTCTTTTTGCCGTGGGGCCAGAGTCCGCCTCCGCACATCCAGGGCCAGCCTGCTACCGAAAGGGCGGCCCCCTGACTGTAACTGATGCCAATCTGTTCTTAGGGCGGCTGCTCCCAGGATATTTTCCAAAGATTTTCGGACCAAACGAGGACGAGCCCCTTGATGTGGAAATCACCCGCCAAAAGTTCACGGAACTGACCGAAAAAATCAACAGTGAACAACGCTCAAAGGGTTGGAATGAGTTTACACCGGAGGAAGTGGCTCTTGGATTCCTGTCGGTTGCTAACGAATCTATGTCGCGGCCAATTCGCGCATTGACGGAGGCTCGCGGGTATGATACGTCTGTGCATCATCTATCGTGTTTTGGCGGTGCTGGCGGCCAGCACGCTTGCTCTGTGGCATCTGTTCTGGGGATCTCCCGCGTCATAATTCACAAATACTCCTCAATCCTGTCAGCTTATGGGATGGCTCTCGCAGATGTAGTGCACGAAGCAACGCAGCCAACCTCAGATGTCTTTAGCACGTCGACTGAACAAGACTTTCGGTCTAAGCTGGAGGCGCTGGCGGAAACTTCCACAGCTGAGTTGGAAAGTCATGGATTTTCACGCGAGAATATCAGGCATGAAATGTATCTGAATATGCGCCATGAAGGTACTAGTACGGCACTTATGATACTTAAAGGTGACGACTGGGATTTCGGCGCTGAGTTCAACAAACGGCATAAAATCGAGTTTGGCTTCCTTTCACCCGACAAGCGGATCCTTGTTGATGATATTCGGGTGCGAAGCATTGCGTCCTCATCGCGGCAGAAGGAGCTCAGCCCGTATGCGCAGGTGAGTATCTAGCAAAGAATCCCGCGCGAGGTAATCCTCCTTGCTAACTTTCCGGCATTCAGATGAAGAAAATAGCATTCAAAGACGTATCTACCCCGGGTGTCAACGAGCGGACGATGGTCTATTTCGGCACAGAACACGGATGGGTTGCAACTCCAGTGCTTAAGCTCGAAGAACTCACGGAGGGTTCCCGCATCCAAGGCCCAGCCATGATCATCGACCAAACCCAGACGATAGTCTTAGTCCCGGGAGCAGTTGCGAGCATTCTTGAAAGCTGCGTGGTGATCGACCTCAAGAAGACAGTGCCCACGCTCGATGTGTCAGGCACCGCGTCAACAAATCCCACCAGCATCAGTCCCATCCAATTGTCAATATTTGGTAACCGGTTCATGTCCATTGCTGAGCAGATGGGTCGAACTCTACAAAAGACCTCTGTCTCGACCAACATCAAAGAACGCCTTGACTTTTCATGTGCACTTTTTTCGCCTGATGGAGGACTCGTGGCTAATGCACCCCACGTCCCAGTACACTTGGGCTCGATGCAATTTGCAGTCCGATACCAGCATAAATATTGGGCGGGAAACCTCGAGGATGGTGACGTCCTGATCTCCAACCATCCGAGCTGCGGCGGGACTCATTTGCCCGATATTACAGTCATTACTCCAGTTTTTGATCAAGGTGAGATCGTGTTTTATGTTGCGTCCCGAGGCCATCATGCAGATATCGGAGGTTGTCTCCCTGGCTCCATGCCCCCAACAAGTACGGAATTATGGCAAGAAGGGGCCGCCATCGAGGCTGAAAAGTTAGTTGCCGGTGGAGTATTCAATGAGGAAAGAATGACTGAGATACTATTGAAAGAGCCAGCGCAGTACCCTGGTTGTTCCGGTACCCGATGTCTGCAGGATAACCTGTCTGATCTGCGGGCTCAGGTTGCTGCCAATCAAAAGGGCATTTCGCTTATCAATGGCTTAATCAAGGAATATGGGCTAGAGCGCGTGCATACATATATGTATGCAATCCAAAGTACGGCCGAAATTGCCGTGCGAGAACTTCTAAAGACCACCTCCAAGACGCTGGGCTCTACGCTGGAAGCCGTCGATTATATGGATGATGGTACAACCATTGCCCTAAAGATAACGATCGATGGCGATAAGGGAGAGGCTGTATTTGACTTCTCAGGAACTGGTTGTGAAGTTTTCGGCAACACCAACGCTCCCACAGCCATCACGCATTCGGCAATTATATACTGCCTGCGGTCGTTAGTGAAATCCGATATCCCTCTAAACCAAGGATGTCTGAATCCCATCGACATTCGAATTCCTCCGGGAACATTACTCTCTCCATCCAAGAGCGCTGGAGTCGTGGGAGGAAACGTGCTTACATCCCAACGAATCACAGATGTTGTCTTGAAGGCGTTCAACGCCTGTGCCGCATCGCAAGGCTGTTGCAATAACCTCACTTTTGGCAAAGGCGGCAAGACAGCGAACGGGGAACATGTCAACGGATTTGGGTACTATGAAACAATTGCCGGCGGCAGCGGAGCGGGCCCAACTTGGGTTGGACAGAGCGGCATTCACACGCACATGACTAACACACGCATCACGGATCCCGAGATCTTCGAGAAGCGATACCCATGTATCCTCCGGGAATTCTCCATCCGAAAAGGATCAGGGGGTCAAGGAGCGCATCCTGGTGGTGACGGCGTGGTCCGCGACATTGAGTTCCTGATTCCCGTCCAGTGTTCGATATTGTCTGAGCGCAGGAGTCATCAGCCCTACGGTCTTCAAGGGGGAGGCCCCGGTGCATCAGGGAAGAATTTGTGGATTAAGCGAGATGAAGAAACAGGGGATGAAAGGATGGTTAGCCTCGGTGCAAAGGCAACCGTGGCAATGGGTGAAGGTGACAGGATCGTCGTGCAAACTCCTGGCGGCGGAGCTTGGGGCAGTGTAGACGAGGAAAAAAGAGTGAACGCGGTTGTACATGACCAATTTTTGACCAAGGGATCCGTCGATAGATATAGGGCGATTCAAGAAACAAATTGAGCGGATGCATAGGGTCTCGAAGGACCATGATATTATCTGCTACGGTACCGCGATTACGATGCATGAATTATGAAACAGCTTGCTATTACTTATTTAACTCATTCCTCCAGTTCCTTCTCCCTTAATTAGTACACACTCGACAATTGTACTATACGGAAGGAACCCCGAGTCAATATTAGCTGCTCAAGACATCTCTGCATTTTCCAAACATGGTTATTTATACATAGTGAAAATGTTATAAAGGAGACCCAAAAATGTGTCGTTCATGTATTCAAACCAAAAAGCGAAATCAAAATAGTGAGGTCATGAGTCACCAAATAAGTAGTTATACACATATATGGCATATGAATGTATATGAATGTGGAAGGAGAAAGAGAAACTGTTATGTTGAACAAAAATAAACTAGCGAGGGATATCAGAGCAAATAGTAGAGCGCGATGAAAAAGTCAAAAGGGAAGAAATAAAAGGACAAGACAGGGAAAATAGCATGAGCCATATGAGCCAGAAAGCACGACGCAAAAAGAAAAAAAGAAAAAGGGCAGAAAAGATCTTCAAGAACCCAAGACTAGAGAGAATGGGCACTAAGCTCTGCGCCAATAGAAATGGAGCGAAAGATGTTGAAGCGAGTGAAAGGGAGCACACTC